ATTTTGTCATGGTGACAAAACCCTGACCAACACAGATGGAGGTAGCCCAGGGTAGCCCAGGTTGGCCTCAAACAGTCCTCCTGCTTAAGTCTTCTGAGTGCTTCTGGATTTGTAGGTATGTGCTACTATGTTCAACTCTTATTTTTAAGCAAGACAAAGATTTTTATATCTTTTCCCAGAAGATAGGTTAAAATAAAGAGAACTCCATATGTTTATAAAGTATCTTTGACTTTACTTAAAAAGTTGCCATTTCTGCTTTTGTAAAAGAGAGAAGCCTATCATCTCTTGTTTGGGTAAAAGAATATTATGATTCGTGTCATGAATCTATTTCTGGAAAAGTGATAAAAGGGTCAGAATACTCTGTTCCCTAACGCCACCCAAATTGCAGACATTCTTGCAAGGATATAGTTGTAGGCTGCAAGCAAAAGTCCTGCTTTGGTATAATATCTAGTCAGGACCTCAGGACTCCTCAGGCAGAATGCTATCTCTCAAAGAACAATGCATTTAACACCTGGGCAAAACTTTCTGTAATGGGGACTAAGAGGAAAGGAAACCCTTTAGTAGTTACTCTCAGTCTCTTGATGTCCAACAGTTATTTTACTGTTCTAGTTAGCATCAGCTGACAATGTGACACAGCCCAGAGCTATCTGAGAGAGTATCAGTTGGGAGATTGTCTTAATCACATTGGCCTAGGGACATGTCTGTTGGCATTTTCTTGATTGATAATTGATGTGGGAGAATTCAGCTCGAGGTGGGTGGTGCTACCCCAGGCAGGTGGTCCTGGGTTGTATGCATAAGAAAGCTAGTTGAGGGGCTGTAGAGAAGGCTCAGCAGTTAAGAGCACTAGTTGCTCTTGTATAGGACCCATGTTTGATTCCTAGCACCCACATAGTGGCTAACAACCATCTGTAACTCCAGTTCCAGGGGATCTGATGCCCTCTTCTGACATATGTCAGCATTGTATGACACAGGTGCACTTATATGCATGCAAGCAATACACTCATACACATAAAATGAAATCAATAAAAAAAGAAAGCTAGTTTAGAAGCCAGTAAGCAGCTTCCCTCCATGGCTCTCCCCTCTGCTCCTTCCCAAGTTCCTACTCTGACTTCTCTCAGTGGTGGACTGTGACCTGGAAGTGTAAGCCAAAAACCCTTTCCTTCCCGACTTGCTTCTAGTTGTTTATCATAGCAACAGAAAGCAAGCTAGAACAACTGTAAACAAGCATGGAAAAGAAGAAAAGAGAGGCATTCCTAATTATGGATCCTAGAGCAACATTTAGCATAGAATGTTACATAGTCTGATTATAAAGAAAACAGTGTTGTCTACTGTAAACTCCATCAAATCAGTGCATGTCACTGTATAGATTCTCATGTTCATGTACATACACATAAAGCATGGCCTACCTTATACGTGTTATCTTTTAGGAGTCTTGTTTAGATTCAGAAACCAACATCCTGATTTCTGTATTGGAAAAGTAACATGTGTGTTTTTTGTTTTGATTTTGGTTTTTGACGCAGATTTACCCTGTAGCTTCACCTGACCTGGAACTCACTAAATAGACCAGGCTGGCGTCGATCTCACAGAGATCTGCCTGCCTCTGCCTCCCAAGTGCTGGGATTATAATACATATTCTTTTTATATTGAGATTTATTATTTTTATTTTATGTGTATGCGTGTATTGCCTGCATGTATGTAAATGCATCCATGCCATGCCTACGGAGGTCAGAAGAGGTCATTGGATCTCCTAGAACTGGAGTCACACATGGTTGTTAGCCACCATGTGGATTCTTGGAACTGAACCTCATCCTCTGCAAGAGCATCCAGTGCTTTTAACCACTGAACCATTTTTCCAGCCCCCCAAAGTTTACCTTTTATGCTCAATGAGAGCTAGGTATCTCTTATCAGTTAAGCCCCTGTGCTTAACTTAAATTGGTAGTTTAGTAAGTTAAATTTTGGGTACATTAGTATTTTTTCCCATTGATTTATAATTTAACATGATTACTTTTTAAACTACCACTTAACTCTCTAGTTGGCAATTACAATAAAAGCAAACACTTTCTCTGTAAAAATAGAATATGGGCTGGGGTGCAAGCTTGAGGGCCTGAGTTCCAATATATAGTTGAGTGTGGTTGCGTGTGTCTGTGACCCTAGCACTGGGGGTGGTGGAGACAGGTGAATCCCTAGAGATTGCTGGTTAGCCGGTTTAGCCTATTTGCTCCAGATTGAGTGAGAGACCCTGTCTGAAACAATGAGGTGTAGAGTGATGAGGAAGATATCCAGTATTGGCTTGTGGCATCCACATACATGTACACACACACGCAAACACAAAAAATAGAACATGTCCTTTAAAATAATTTGGTGATTGAAGAAATTTTAAAATGAGAAAATATCCCCAGATCACATAATCAGAGATTACACTGTCATAGCAAAACATTGCCTTCAGCTTTATCTACTTGTGTCTACAAATTAAGATTGTTCTACAGATTTAATTTCATACCCCAAAGTTCATTTCCTCCCTCCCTCCCTCTCTTCCTCCTTCCCTCCCCACCTCCTTTGCTTGTTTTCAGAAGGGTGTGGAGAGGCTATCACTATGGAGCCCAGGCTAGCCTCTAACTCACAATTCTTCTGCCTGTCCAGGCCTTCTGCTTACAGGCTTAAGCCACCATGCTTGGCTCTAGAACTTTAAAAAATAAAAGTTTTTTTCCTTAGGGACTGTTTCACTGTTACCCAGGGTTGGAACTCCGGAGTTGAGGTGACCTTGTTTGGCCTTCTGACTACTTGAGTAGCTGAGACAGCAGTTATATAGCACTATGATTAGCTTTGCAGAACTTTGGCATTTGAAAAGGCCTCTAATCCAGGAAAATTTATAGTAACATTTCTCCCATAAAATGCATTTGTACATGTTGGCATGTGTCTGTGGCAGATTCACTACTAGCATATAGTTTTAGATGTATTCATGGCCTAGCCTGAATCTTCCATGAATTTGGCATTTCAGTTTTTATTTTTTGTCTTTTTGAGACAGGATCTCCCTGTAGCCCTAGCTGGCCTAGAATTCACTGTGTAGGTCAGGTTGGCCTTAAACTCAAAGATCCGCCTGCCTCTGCCTCCTGAGTGTTGGGATTAAAGGCGAACACCACCACGCCTGGCTATTTCAGTTTTTATTTAACTTAAAGTTTCTTTTCTAGGTTTTTCACTTATATTTTGCTCATTTATCAGCAGTGGCTTTCCTCTTTTGAATTACAGGTATTTAAGGGAAACCCTTCTTCACTATCTTAACTCTACCTCCCTCCCTCACCCCTCCCTCAATCACCTTCCCCCATCCCTCCATCCTTTTCTCCTTCTCCTTGCTGAGGATCAAACTCAGGGCCTTGTGAATGTTTGGCAATTGTTACACTATTGAATTCTCTAATTTTGAGATATTTGTTTCACTGTTTATATAGCTCAGGCTGGCCTCAGACTTCCAATCCTCCCACCTCACCCTCTTGAGTGCTGGGATACAGGCATGTGCCATTGCATCCAGCTTAGCTATTTCTTAAATTTGCCCAATATGATTGGCAGATAACAATGTTTTAATATACAGACACTGCTAAGTATAAGTGATAAATTAATTGTTCCTTCTACCTTCCCTTATACTCTGGGATCAAAGCTTAATCACAATCATTGCTTATTAAGGGCCTTAGAAGTTTTCCCCAATTGCTAAAACTTTAAGATGTTAAATCTTAAATGCCATTATATTTAAGGAGTCAATTGTGTGTGTATACATGTGCATGCATGTAACAAGTGTGTAATTTGAAGACAGCTGCCTCTTATTTGCCTGTGTCTTGGGAAAGCTTTAACTTCTACGAGCTTCAGTTTGCTCATTTTTCAAATTGTTGCATTAGAACCTTTCCAAGATACAGGCTTGTTTTAAGGAGCCAATAGCATAAAAGCTATGAAAGGCCTTTGTTAATTATGATACATAATACATAGTTGTTATTCAGAAAGTTGTGAGAATGAAAAAGTGAAGGCAACTTTTTTTTAGAAAACATTTTTATTGGAGTTTTGCGGTTTCATACAATATAATTTGATGGTATTTAGATCCCCTCCCCTATCTGCACTTTCCCTTATTGCCCCCACAAATTTAATGTATACACACACACACACACACACATATGTCTGTCTGTAGAGTCTAATTTGTGTCCCCAAATGTCCTTCAGTGTGGGTCCATCCATTGGAGCTTGGTTAACTTATCAAGAATCCCATCATTGAAAGAGACTGTCTCTGCCCCTCCCAGCAGCCATTGGTTGTAAAAGCAACTCTTGATTCCCATGTTTAGATTTCCTTTCAGAACAAATGGAAATTGGGTATGAAACAGAAGTAGTTCCTTGGAGATAACTCAGCAAGTAGAAGCTCTAGAGGCTCAAGCCCGACAACCCTAATTCAGTCCCAGAATTCACATAAAAACCCAGATGTGTTTGTGCTTATCTGCAATCTGAGTACTGCTATAGTGAAATGGAGGCAGACAGGAGAATTGCCTGGCAGCTCAAGGCTCAGTTAGCCTGGATCATGCAGGTGACCTGAGGTAGATGCCCAGAAAGGTTAAAGGAGAGAAATGACTCTTGCAAGTTGTCCTCTGACTACCATGTGCTTGCTGTGATGCACATGCACCTGCCTACACACACACACACACACACACACACACACACATGTGCGTTTTTAAAAAGCAGAAGTAATTACTGCTTTGAGCCACATCTTCCTTAGAATAATTTTTTTCTACTTGTCTACCTCTAGACTATAAAGAAGAGATATCAATATTTTTGTGTGGCATTAATTTTGAATGAGAACCATACCTAACTCTTAAGAAAAAAAGAGGGAAGAAAAGCAAAGGAGAAGGTATATCTGTCCACCATGACCTGCTGTGCTTAAATTGGCTAGGAATCCTTGTTTGGCTGCCTTTGCTCATTTCATTTGGCAACTCTTGAGCCTGCATCTTTCAGAAGATACAGGGAGCTTAAAAGGTGAAAAAGTGAATCTCTTTGATTTTTCCAGGCATCATTGTTGAAAGAGCGTATCACCACAGACAGTTTGAAGGGCACTGACTGTAAGTAAACTATAGGTGCTTCCATTTAGTGTAGTGGGCATATGCAGCAAAGATACAATATGCTTCTACTTTTCTGCCTTAATAGGGAGTGATGAAGCGATGGACCTTCTTAATTTGATTTTCATTCATTATCAAGAGAATTAGATATTTGGAGAAAGATGCAAATACATATATGTGCATGTATTTTTGTGTCTTTTATGATCAAATATATAGAAAAGAAAGGGAAACAATATGAATCATGGGAAGAGTGCTTGGAGAGGACAGACTTTAGGATGAATGTACTGAATTAGATGAATTTGAAAGCTAAAGAAATGGAAGGAAAATAGAAAAATCCAATTTTCCATTTACTTAAATAAAGGACATGTTATACCACTGATCAATTTCAAATGAATATATATGTGGGCATTTTATGTATAATAAAATTTAGACAATTTAATTAGTAGTCTATATAAAATATTCTGAAACATTTATTGATCAAAATCTCTGTTGTCAGGCTTTATGTGCCAAGTAAGTGGTGATATTTGCCAATGTTGTTATTTAACTATCATCCTATACTAATTTTTATTTTCAAATGCACTTGAAATTATTAAGCTACTACTGTAGCTTAATTTTATTATATGAGTTAATGTAATAATAACATTACATGATAAGTAAATGTTTAATGTTAAATATTTATTTTCTATATTTCTATAATTTACCATATTTGGTACTTTAATATGCATGTAAATTCTATTAAGATTAAAATAATTCATTTAAAGCCAATCTTATTTTAAACTATATAATTTTTTTACATATTTGTGCATTTCAGATGAAATTCACATATTCTTAGCTGTCCCCAAATTGATAATTTTCTTCCTTCTCCAAAAGAGTTTGAGAAAAACTTACATTATAAGCTTAGCCTTAAGTGTAGTAAAATCATTAAGTGCAACACTGTTTTGCTTACTAGGACAGTTTTAGATGTATTGCTTTATTTAACTTTTTGATTAGGATTTTGATAATATGTAAAGGAATAACCACTTAGAATGACAAAAAGCAGATAGGTTTTTACAGGTGTAACTTGCTCCTAAAGAAAATACAGGAGCCATTTGTGAAGTGCTTTATCACTTACAAAACACCTTCACATACTTTATCATGTAGCCCTCACAATATCCTTCCTCAGCCAAATCATACAAGATCTGTTTTGTCTTTACCTATGGGGTATAATACAGACTTATCAATGCATCTGTAAGTAATAAGTACAAATGCCTCTGACTGACATGAAGATAATATTCTCAACCTATAGTGGCACTTACATATTTTTATCTTGAGCTATCTTTGCTAACTGATCATTCAACATTTATTGACATGCTGCTGCCTATTTAATTTAGCTGTAAGATCATGGAAAGTATGGAGCGGTGTTTATCATCATCCATTCCAATGATATGTCTAAGAGTATCACTATACTGGAATAAGAGTATATATCATGAATTATTGGACCACATAACAAGGAATTTGTATTTGATAATGGTGACTGGTGAATGAAATTTATATTTGATTATGGTGAGATTTGGGCTGAAGATAGGGTATTTCTTCAATTGATACTGTCAGTCTCAAGGCTGAGAGACATGATACTAATAGTTAAGGGAAAACAGAAAAATCTGTGGGAGAGTATGATATAATCCCAGAACAAAAGGTATGACTTGGTGGATATATTTTGAGGTAATCTTTGACAAACATAATCTCTCCTGATTCTGGGCCTTTGAACATGGTTGTGCTTGGAAACATTCCGTACACTCCATTTGCTGACTCCTGTTTCTCTCTCAGCTTGCAGCTGTTATTTTCTCCAAGAAACCTCTGTGGTACTAGCCCAAGGCTGGATAAGGTGTCTCTCTTCTGAATTACCATAGCACCAAATATTTTCCCAATACAATACATTATAAAATGATGCTGTAGTTGCCTATTTGTATTGTTATTGCTTTTGCTTTTATTTGTGTGTGTGTATGTGTGTGTGTGTGTGTGTGTGTGTGTGCGTGTGCGTGTGTTCCCTACCAGATGAAAACTTCATAAGGATAGGAGCTGTATATGTTTTACTTATCACTTCACTATAAATCAGTGCCTACTCATAAATATTTGTTAAAGACATGAAAAGAAAATGAATAATGAGAAAGCAAAAAATCCTGAAAGCAGTTATCATTTACTGGCTATCTGTTACGTAGCTAGGTCTTTAAATGTTAATATTTAACTCTTGTAACAATTCAGATGGGGCAACTGAGGTTGAAGGGACTTACCCTGGTCAAAGGAATACTGCTTATACTTGTCTGAACCAGGATTTCGGAATCCAAAGCCTCTTATCTTTCCACTTGGAAATACTGCCTCTCTCACACCCTACATTTATGTAAGTTGTTACAGGCTGAAAATACCCTTCTAAGCTAAGAATTTTCCCCTGATTTGTATCTGGTAAGTAAAAGGCATGATTTTCAAATTAGGTATTTTATATGCAGGTACTTTTCTTTTCCACAGTTGTATAGCTATCTCATTCTAGAAGATTCAGACTTTACAAGAATGGTGAAATGAAAGAAGTTTAGCAATAACTAAGAGTCCTTAATTCATAAATGATAAAAACAACTCCAGATAGATAATTTTACCAGGGATAGAACAATTTCCATATTTTCTTTGTCATTTTTCCTCCTAGAAAAATTAAAACTGGGAATAATTGCTCTTACTTCTACCAAGTAGTAGTAGTAGTAGCAGTAGTAATAGTAGCAGTAGTAGTAGTCCTCTTACTTCTACCAAGTAGTAGTAGTTGTTCCTCCTCCTCGTCCCCCTCCCCCTCCCTCCCTCCTCCTCCTCTTCTTTCTTCTTCTTCTTCTTCTTCTTCTTCTTCTTCTCCTCCTCTCCTCCTCCTCTTCTTCTCCTCCTCCTCCTCCTCCTTCTTCTTCCTTCTTCTCCTTCTCCTCCTCCTCCTTCTTCCTCCTCCTCCTCCTCCTCCTCCTCCTTCTTCTTCCTTCTTCTCCTTCTCCTCCTCCTCCTTCTTCCTCCTCCTCCTCCTCCTCCTCCTCCTCCTTCTTCTTTCCTTTGACATCTGGTTACTGCTTGCCTTCATATTGTTCTGAACTCAGTAAATGCAACTTCTACTGAGGAGACTACTGCTTGTGGGATGAAGCAGCACCCCTTTCTACCTCTGACCCTCCCGGTAGCAGTTTGTTTTGTAGTAACTTTTCTGTTCCACATGCCTCAAATGACAGTTTCTGGCAGGTCATAGCTTAGGATTTTCCCTAGAGGGCATTGACTTTGGCCACCTTTGGTCTATGACTTTCCTTTGCTCTTTACCCTCCTCACAGTTCAGTTCACCTCTGTTGAGAGGTGAGGGATCAGGAGTGATGTTAATGAAGAGTGTGGTGTTTTGACTGAAACAAGCAGAGCCTAGAACTAAGAGAAGTCATTCTCTCCATAACCCCTTTCTTTCTTTCTTTCTTTCTTTCTTTCTTTCTTTCTTTCTTTCTTTCTTTCTTTCTTTCTTTCTTTCTTTCCTTCCTTCCTTCTTATTTATTTCCTTACTATTTATTATTTATTTATTTTTATGTTATGTGTATGAATGTTTTGCCTACATGTATGTAAGTGTGCCTATGCATGCAGTGCCCATGGAGACGGAGTCTCCTGGAACTGGAATTACAGACTGCTGTTAGCCACCATGTGTGCGCTGGGAACTTAATCCAGTTACACTGCAAGAGCAGCCAGTGCTTTTAACTGCTGAGCCATCTCTCCAGCCCCCATAATCCCTTCTTGAAAATAGAAGTCACTTACATATGCAGAGAAAAGAACATTTATTGGGAATGTAAATTTATCTTCTTAGTACTATCAGAATATTTGACAGCTGTTTAACACATATAGATCAACAGTACATAGGACAGCATACAGAGTCACAAAAAGAAAAGAATTTTTTTTTAATTTCAAAAATGTTAAAGCCAGCATGGTGGCATACACCTTTTTAGTCCCAGAAGGCAGAGGCAGAGGCAGGCAGATCTCTGTGCTGCTCTTGGTCAGCTGAAACTAGAGGGAGGCTGTGTCTCAAAAAACTACAAACAAATCAACCAACCAAAACCAACCAACAAAACAAAACAAAAAAAACCAAAAATGTGTTAAAAGCAGATTATAGTTTTTTAAAAACTACAATTAACCAAAATTTTATTATAATCTTTTAACATGATGTTTGATTTAAATGACTTAAAAACTAGTTGCAAATTTAAAAATAAATTGCTCTAAAGCAAACACAATCCTAATGTACATCTTGATACTGGTTATTTTGTTTTGCTTCTTACTATTCTGTTAATGTTTGATGAAGCCACAGTTCATTATTTACTTTTCTTTGATCTTCCCACCCGTTAAAAAATATTTGTATTTCTGCTTTCCTTGTGACTGCACATTTGTGTTATTTGGCACTGGAATTCTCTGAGTTTGTGGGGGAGAAAGAGGAATGTGGATAATGTAGGTCCAAGTATGTTATGATTGAATCAGAGAAATCCTAGGCCAGCTTTTAAAAGTTGAGGTGTAATTTGTATAAAATTTGTAAATCTAAATTGGGATTATGGCACATGTTTGTAATCACAGTACTTGGAGGCAAAGGTGGGAGGGTCCAGAATTTGATGCCATCTTTGGTTACGTAAGCAAGACCCTGTTTCAAAAAACAACAAAAAACAAAAAAACAAAAGATTATAAAACTATATATAGAAAGGTGTCTATATATTTTCCTAACAATCATCCAGCTAAAAATATAGAATGTTTTAGTATCATAAAAGGTACCTAAGGGGCTGGAGAGATGGCTTTGTGGTTAAGAACACTGAATGGTTCTTGTAGAGGACCCGGGTTCGGATTCCAGCACCCACATGGCAGCTAACAACTGTCCATAACTCCAGTTCCAGGGGATCCGACAGCCTCTTTCATCCTCTGCCAGCATTGCATGACATAGGTGCACTTATATTCAGGCATAACACTCATACACATAAAATAAAAATAATAATAAA